AAATATGGAATTTGAGGATGGATGGGCATTCTCTTCTCCAGATGAAGTAAGGAGGGGTAAGAGTAAGTGAGCACAGAAGGCTTGAGCTCCAGTTTTTTTTTGTCTTAGCTGGGAGTTTCTGACTAAAGCTTTTAAAGCATTGAGGAGGAAGGGTTATGCTACACTTACTGTTGGAAGGAATTGTCTGTGATAGAGCAAAGCCAAACAGCCCTTCCAGTGGTAAACTTAATGGAATGGGTAAGAAGGTTTAAACTTCAGGATTGGCGCTAAACAGACTTTTATGAACAAAAAAAAATGACTTTCATTTTGAAAAATTAGTATGATGGTGAAACATCCATGGTTTATTTTGGGGTTTTTTTTCTTCCTTAAAAGGGGCCCCAAATTGCCTTTCCTCTACATCCCTCTCCCAATGATTTGTTTATCCCTGGTTATTGGCCTCATGGCCACAATCATGGACTGGGAATTAGCAGCCTTGCTCCTGCCAAAATGAGATGATGGGGTTTGGCGTATCACTTCTAGCTAAATAAACACAGATAAATGGAGACTATGAAATCATCTTGAAGTGTATTGTGGTTGTAGAAATGATTACTTTAATATTCTTACCTGAAGTTTTAGTACAAATGTATTCTCCATTTGTACTTTAGAGAAACTTTTTTTCTTTTGGCTGGGAGGGGTCAGGTCAAGGAATAGAGTGGGTGGGACAAAACTTGTAATTTCACTTATATAGGGAGTTTCCAGCTGGGAAACTGAATCCACCAGTGAAGGTCATCAAGTGCTCTGCTTTGTTAATTTTGTTGAGTCATTTCAGTCATGTCCAAATCTTTGTGACCCCATTTGGGGTTTTCTTGGCAAAGATACTGGAGTGGTTTGCCATTTTCTTCTCCAGTTCATTTTACAGAGGAGGAAGCTGAGGTGAATAAGGTTAACTGACTTGCCCAGGGTCACACAACTAGTGAGAGTCTGAATCCAGATTTGAACTCACCTCTTTTTGACTCTAGGCCTGGTACTGTATCCACTATGCCACCTAGCTGCCCTAACTGCTCTACTACTTATAATAGAGAATTGCCTAGATCACTGAGAAGTTAAGAGACTTGCCCTGGGTCACAGAGATCACATGTCAGGTCTTGCTGACTCTGAAGCCAGATCTCTAACCACTACACCATGATTTCTCTCTTGAAAACTGTAAGTTACTCTGTTAATGTTAGTGTTATTGTTATCATCACCACAACTACCACCACCACCGTAATCACCATCATCATTATCATCACAATTTCAGAATCAGGAGGCCTGTGTGGGCATTCCTGCTAGCCACCTGGGTTCAAATTGTGCCTCTGACACCTAGCGACTGTCATGACACTTAACTAGTCTCTCTGAGTCTTAGTTTCATCACCTGGAAAATGAAAGGTTGACTCACTGAACTCTGCAGAACTTGTTAGTGATAGATCTAAGATCCTATGGCCTTTGCCAAGGCATTTGATCTCTATGGACCTCGATTTATTTGTTTATGAAGAGCGCATTTACAAGATGATAATCTAACAGTCTAAGAGACTTTGTTCTGATTTCTAATTAAGGGAGAGAGACAACTTCAGGAAATTTGGTGCCTATCTATCCTTCAACTCCCATGACAGATTATGCAGAAACCCAGGCTCAGTGTGCATTTGTCCACTCAAGAAAACAGGTGCAAACCACTGAGATAGGTAAATACCATCATTAAAATGGGAAACAACTAGGGAGCAATCCTCGTGTGTTTACATTTCAGTAGATTCCAAAGAAAGGTGTTTATAAAAGGAGCATATGTGGAGATGGAAAGAAGAGCAGAGGACAGGAGGGCACAGAGCTCCTCCATGAAAACACCACCTGCATCTTTTCACAGAAGGTGATTGCTAAAGAGTCTCAGTCAAGGCAGAAAAGGCCTAGTGTATGGGCATGCTCCTCCTTCCAACATCCATCATACCCAGACTTCCACAGAAAATCAACAAAGTGAGATTCAGCTGTTAATTTCTGGCCCATGAGTAGAACATCTCTAGGATGCACAGAGCTGTTGTTGAGAGTGTAACTCAGTCAACTAGTCTACCTCTTCACTTGCCAGGTGTAAGGAAAAGAGCTAACAGGAAATCAGGAAACCTAAGGTTGAGTCTCAGGTGGACCAGCAGCCAGGTGTGTGACCTTGGAGATGAAAAATAACAATGTAATTCATATCTGTGAAGTACATTTTAGGTTTATAAGAGATTTTCTTTGTGACCTTAAGGAAAATATAAGCTTTCTGAGCCTTGGTTTCCTCACCTGCTTTTGAGGATATTGAATTATAGAATGGATATGATCATGGAAAAGAATGGAATCAACCATCATATTTTAAAAAATAATTGATGCCTATTGATTTTTTCATAAAGTAAAATTTTATTGTTACCTATTGTTTTTATGTCATTTACTTCCCTCAGGGTATCCTTACTCCATCCCTCCAAGGGATCTATTCCTTATGACAAAAAATAAGAGTTCCATAAAAGTAACTGATAAATCAAAAAAACCTGCCAGTATAAGGAATATTCCATTCACATGGGCTCCCTCCCCCTTGGAGAAGTAAGGAGGTGCCTTCTTATATCTCCTCTTTGAGGTGAAGCTTAGTCTTTTGCAGATTCGATTACATTCCATTATAATTATTTTCTTATCCTTTTTCTCTATTTACATTGTTGATTTAATAACAATGCACATTGATAGAGTTATTTATTTTTAAAATGCTGTTGATTGATTGATGGGTTAAGATTACACCCCTAGTCAGTATTGGAGGTGGACTTGGACCAAGGTCTTTCCTGGCATAGACCAGGACTAGAGTACTAAGCTGCCTCATCAATGCTATGCTCTCATACGACACCAATAACAGAATGATCAAAGTTAATAGCACCAAAATGACTTAGATAAGCGAGTAAATGAAAGTCAGCAATGTCAAGCTTTGCAAAGAAGCAAATGTGATACTACAAACAGCATATTCCCAGAAGGATGATGGCCGAAGGTGAGGAAATAACTCTTCCATTGTATTCAGCAAGTCCTTCAGGATTGGGACTGGTTTTGATTTCTGCATTTTGAAAATTTAAGTAAATTTAAAGGGAATTCAAGCAAACTGTAGGGGAAGATATATAGATGTAGACACAGATATAGATACATATACATATGTGTGGATATCTCGATATAGGTATCTACACATAGATACATAGATATAGATAGTTATAGATGCATACACATATATAAACATATATACATAGCATTGACTTTGTTACTAGAAGGTAAAGACTAGAAGGTAATCTTAGGATTGGTACAGGGAGCCTCTGAGTGATTTGATAGAACCAATAGTTTTAGAAAGATACCTGGAATACTGAGAGGATTAGTGGTTTTCTAGAGTCACTCAGACAGTATGTGTCAGATGTGGGATTTGAACCTAAGTCTTCCTGGCTTTGAGGCCTGTTTTCCATCCACTGGGATATACTACATCACGTCCTAGATCTGTCATTTTGCTGTGGGAACTCAGGTTAGGCTGTCTGAGCCTCAGTTTCCTTGTCAGACCTCTTCAAAGGTCCTTTTTAAAACATGAAGGTCCATGATCCTATTGTTGATGGTTAAGAAGAATGATGACAATTATTTTAATTTATTTAATCCAATTTAATAAACAATGATTAGGCTCAATTGAGCAGGCATTGTGTTTGGCGCTAGACACGTAGAGAAAAATAAATAAATGAAGACATTCTACTGGCTTCTGGTCCTTGAGCTAACAAACCATTTTCACATAGATTTATCCTCCAGCCTTCTAGTGGTAAGAAATAGTGCTATAGTGTCCAATGTATGGATGAGGAGGCCACTCACAAAAGTTCAAACAGCTGGCTGGGAGTAGAGTAAGGATTATATGCTATGTTCATTTAGTTTAATTTTTTTTTCTGAGAACAAATTTTTAAAAGCATTTAATTCAGTTAATTGTTGCATTAAAATGGGTGCTACTACTTAAAAAAATTAGGCTTATCTATTTACTAAAGCAGACTGGTGAGTCTTGGCTCTTTCTGGAAATAGCTGTGTGTGACCTTGGACATATTAATTAATTTCTCTACCCATATTGTCATCTATAAAGTAAGGGGATTAGATAAGATCTCTATTTTTTTCTAACTAATGATATGTGATCTCTACTGAGAAAAATGGTTCCTTAAAAAACAGTCGTTGTTGATTACTGTTCAGTAATAATAATTCCCTGGGTTGCTGAGAGTTGCAATCTACAGCTTTTGAGTTGTCTTCTTTTTTTTTTAATATTTTTTTTTCTTCAGTCCATAGGGATACTTTGATTCTTGGTCCATCTCATTAAGCATAAGATAATTTATTTGTTCTCTCACTAATCCATTTTTTTTCCAACTTAATATTCATGGATGGTCTGCTGTGGTGTGGTTCCTTTGGGCAGCAACGTATCAATTCATTTGCTGACCCAGGATAAAAATAAAATCCGCCAGAGTTTCTTTTTACTTCTTGTATCAAGTTTACTTTGACAATATCCAGAATTTAATTTAATTTTTTCCTCCACCTGGGTGTATTGTAGCCAGCCACCATTTTTATACCTGACCTATCATACCATTCTTGGTTTAAAACCTAATACATTATAGATTTAGGAGACACATGAGAGCTTGGTTATTGCCTTTGTACCAAAGGCAGCAGACACTGCATCCACATCTTTGCTTGGAAAAAGGGAAACTGTCAGGGATGATTGCCTCTGGCCAAGAAAAAGGTATGTCACACCTACTACTTAGTCAACAAGTTCCTGTAATAGTGTCAAAAATTCTACAAAAGGGATCTTTCTTTCTTTTGAAGATAATTTTTAATGGGTTAATTAGATCAGTAAAATGAAGTTCTAAAATCAGCAGAAAAGTCTTAAAATACATGAGTTCTTTTGAAACTTTAAAGGAAATCCAATATATACTTAAAGAACAAAATCAATGAAGAATCTTAAAGGCTTCTCGTCTGATTTGTCACAGGGTCCAAGCTTTCTCTCCGAGGCCCTTTTTCCTGTTCGGGCTGCAGAAATTGAAGAATTGGATCCTTTCTTCAACCTCCATGAAACTATTGCAAAGGTAAGGGTGAGGAAAGATGGTTAACTGATTATCCAGGCCGTTTCTAACTTTCATTTTGTTTTGTGCTAGTGCTAGTGCTGAGGAGTAGGAAAGTGTCTTTTTATGTTGTTTTTCTCACCCTTCTGGATGATTAAAATATCCCTTGAAAGATAAACTTATTTCTGCAAGGAGAATCACATGCAATCCTAACTATAACCTGATATTCCATCTACTTCAAATTCTTCTAATTTCTGTAGATGGAGAAACTGAGGTAGAGGTGGGGAAAATGACTTGTCCAAGATTATACAGCTAGTCTATACTAATGACGTTCCTTCTTTGTATATCTCCATTACATTGAATTATTGTACATTGCCTTTTTAACCTGTAGACAGGTTTGAATAATTGGCAGAATTTTAAATAAGCCTTCCCTCTTGTTGTTGGGGCTATTTCATACACTGCTACAATGTTCATAAAATATACATTTTTGTTAATGTTTTTTCTTTATATCAATCATTTTCCACCTCCCTCCAGAATGAACTCCCTCTTGTGATGAGAAAACAAAACAAAACAATCCTCCTATGGTTTTGTCCATCCCTTCTATCTTTTGAGCCTTTCCTTGGTAGGAGGCGGCCCTCTAAGTAAACTATTTAAACCCAAATTGCAGGCTGTGAACTTTGTTCACCTTGTCTTGCACCTGAGTGTTTATTGGATTGTTTCTTCTCTTGCTGAATTTTCTTCTTGTAGTAGGAGTGTTGTTTTGTTTTTGTTTTGTTTTAAAAGGTTCAAATTTATCCTGGCATTTGTCTTTTTGATGTAATGCATAGAACCCAAAGAAAGTAACAAATGAGGCTCGGTGTGGATGCCAAAAAGGTATAATTCATCACTGCACCAGTGACAATGGGCAGGTGTAGTACAAAGCTGCTGAAGGACAACACCAGCTGCATCTATTTGGAAAGGGTTCTTTTCATCCTGTCCACACAGCTTTTTTTGCAAAAGACCTGTTGTTCCTTCTTGGCAGCAAAACACCCAACCTAGGTCATTTCTTGGAGATAAATAAACAAAATACTAGTTGAAATACTAGTACCAGACCCTACCACCCATGATTAAAACAGGTAGAATTGTGGATAGCGAATTTAGGAAGAAAAGGGATAGAGACTTCGAAAAGGATCTGTCAGAGTAACTCACTGGCTTAGCCTGGAGAACACTTGGGCATGGGGAGGGGAGGGGCAAGAGACCTGTCCTCCGGTATTTGACAGGCTGTCAGGTCCATGAGGGATTAGATTTATTCTGCTTGGCCCTGAATAGCAGAACCAGGAACAGTCAGTGGAAGCTGCTGAGAGGTAGATTTTGGCTCAGTAGAAGGAAAACTTTCTACTAAATAGAGCTGGTAAAATGTGCATTGAGCTGCCTTGAGAGAGGCTTCTCCCTTCCTTGGGGGTGGGGGTGGTCTTTAAACCAAAGCTGGATATTCCCTTTTTCACATTCTGTGGCCTACCTATCTTTCCAGCTAGATCTTACATTCATCATCTTAATTAATTAAGATAATTGAGAACCATTTATAGTCTGGGGTTAGAAGAAGGCCATGATCAGAGCTATGCTCTTAGAAAATTAATCTGACAGCAAATAAACACTGAATTTGTAGTATTTCTCCTCTAGAACTCAAAATATTTCCACACACACACACACATAATCATTGCATATTAACATGTAGGATGAGGCAAAAGCTGATTTTACAAAGATGGTCATGGAAACCAGTGAAGGGCCTCATTCTATTCAAGATTTCCCTCCATGACCTCACTTTATTTCCATTTAATTTTTTCTCTTTTTAGAGAAAAGTAAGCTTCGTAATGTTCTTTTGAAGGGAGTATCAAAAGGTATTTTCATCATTGCAGTTGTCAATAGGATCATCATTATTATCCCTGTTTTACATCCTGAAGAAGAAACAGAACAACAGAAAGAACAAGGAAAATCATTGTCAGCATCCTAGTCTCAGGCCTCTTACTGTAGCCAGTATTCTTTAATCACTCCCTCAGTCAATCAGTCAAACAATACACATTTATTAAGAACCGGAAATGTACCAGGCACAACACTAATCACTGAGGCTACAAAGAAAGGCAAAAGATGGTCCCTGGCCTCAGGGAGCCCAATAAGCAAGCAGATATATACAAACTCTATGTAAGATTAAGTAGGAAATAATTAGCAGAGGGAAGGTGTTAGAATTTAGGGGAAATACAGAAGGCTTTTTGTAGAAAGTAGGATTTTAGTTGAGACTTGAAGGAAGCCAGGTTATCAAGTGGGCAGAAATGAAGAGGGAAAGAGTTACAGGCTGGGTATAACCAGAGAAAATGTCTGGAGCCGAGAGATGTAGTGTCTTGTTTGTGGAGCTCAAGGACTCCAGTATCACTAGTTTTAGGAGTACTTGGGGGATATATAAATTGTAAAAAGAATGGAAGGGAGAGGGTGTGGGCTTATGAAAGGCTTTCAGTGCCAAACAAAGGATTTTGTATTTGATCCTAATGGCAATAGGAAGCCGCTGGAGTTTGTTGAGGGAGGGGAGGAGGGGTGACCTGCCTGGACCAGCACTTTAGGAAATCACTTTGGTAGCGGGATGTAGGGTGGATTGGAGTGAGGAGAGGTTTATGGTGTGCAGACCCACTAGCAAGAGGTCGTAATAGTCCAAGCATGAGATAATGAGGTCCTGTACTAGGGTGGTGGCAGAATCAAAGAGAAGGAGGGTGGTATGTGAAATATGCTGCAAAGATGAAATCAACAGGCCTTGGCAACAGAGTGGATGTGGAGGTAGGGGGTGATAAATAGTGAAGAGCTAAGCATGACACCTAGGTTGTGAGGCTGGAATACTGGAAGATATTGCCCTCCATGGTAATAAAGAAATTTGGAGAGGCGGAGCTTTTGGTGGGGGGGAGATAATGAGTTTAGTTTTGGATATGTTGCGTTTAAGATGTCTACTAGACCTCCAGTTCAAGATATCCAACAGGCAATTGGACATATGAAACTTGAAGATCAGCAGAGAGATTAAGACTGGATAAATAGGTTTGAGAATCACCAGTCTAGAGACAGTAATTAAATCTATGGAAGCTGATAAGATCACCAAGTGAAGTAGTGTGGGGAAAAAGAGACTAGGGCCCAGTACAGAGCCCTGTGGGACGCTCACTGATAGTGGGCAAGACCTGGGTGATGATCTAACAAAGGAGACAGAGGCGGAGTGCTCAGATGGGTAGGAGAAGAACCAGGAGAGAGTGACATCCCTAAAACCTAGAGAGAAGAGTGTATCAAGAATAAGAGGGTGATCAGCAGTGCCAAAGGCAGCAGAGAGTTCAAGAAGAATGAGGACTAAGGAAAGGCCATTGGATTTGGCAATTGGGGATCATTGGTAACTCCCCTTCCTTTGTTTCTCCGTGTTTTAATTCATCTAGAGTTCAGAATATTGTGAATTTGTGGCTTTATATTGCACAAGGAGAGTCTTTAGTAATGAAAAGCATTTAAACCTTTAAAATATTATAACATTTCCATTAACCGTAGATGTTGCACTGAATGTAAAGGAATTCCTGCTGTATAAAGTACAATCACTTAAATTTCCCCTAGAGTAGACTTGGGAATGGAGTAGAGAGGATGCTATCCATCTTTAAGTCTTATAAATGGAAGACTTATCACATAGAAGAAGGACTGAGCTTGTTCAGTTTGGCCCAGAGGGAAAAAACCAGAATCAATGGGTGGGAACTGTAGAAATAAGCTTAGGATTGATGTAAAGAACTCTCTAACACCCAGAACCCTTCCAAAGTAGAATGGGGTTGGCTCAGAAGGTACTCATCCCAGCCCCTGCCCCTCACCTCCTAACTGGATTTCTTTAAGGAACCTCCAGATGACCATTCATTGGGGATGTTGTTGGGCAGAATTCTCATGCAGGTATGGGTTGAACTCAGAGGTCCCTTCCTAATCTGATGTTCTGTAACCTTCATCTCTGCCACTCAACATTTTGTGTTGATTATCTATAATCATGTAGAAGGCTGAATTCCATTTAAAACATTCCATTTACAAATGATCCAAGAAAGTAACATCTTCAACCAGATTTTTACCTTTACAAAGTTTACTATTAAAATGTAGTTTGTTCTATCATTGAAAAGATCAGAGTTCAGTGATTAGAAGTATTTTAAATTTGCATTTATATTTATAAAAGTAACATGGGGACCGCAGACTGAAATACAGAGTGTTGTGATCTCTGCTGAGACGCCGCTCAGTCCTCTAGCTTTGAACAACAGAGCTCTGGATCTGCTGCAAGGGACCCAATAGCGATCTTTTCTTCGGCTTTCTGGGTTTCAGAGGCCGAGTGTATTCATGAGGCTGATATGATTTCTGGCGGACTTCTTTACGACATTCAGCTGAGATACAACTGACAATGTGAATGAGTAGATTTGATTTTGCTCAAAGTGTGTCTCGTGGCTTTGCAGCTGAGATCATGGAGAATTTTTTCACACATTTCTAGTAAAACAAATTAAATCAAATTGCTTAAAGCAGAGGCTGTGATTTCATATATATATATATATATATATATATACATATATATATATATATATATACATATACATATATATGCATGTGTACATACACATACATCCTAGCACAATATCTAACATATAATAGATGTTTAATACATGCTTGTTGAATGAAAACAGTGAATTGATGAATTTTGCAGTCTCTCTGGCAACCATCCCTTTCTTACCATTCTCCTGGTCCCTTTCCTAGTTTCAGTCCTTATGAATCCTCTTCTCTACTAGCTTATTAACTTCCTGACTATACTGTGTTTCCAGGTTCTGTCTCATGCTATAATGTCACTGCCAATATATGTGTGTATGTATAAATATGTTATTTGTCTTTGAGTCATTCAGTCATGTCAGACTCTTCCTGACTCTGTGGACCATGGTACACACACACACAGTACTGCCTATGGGATTTTCTTGGCAAAGATAGAGGAGTAATTTGTCATTTCCTTCTCCAGTGGATTA